GACATGGTCAGTCAGACCTATGCTTTAGGAAGATCAACATGGCAGCTGAGTGAGGCTGGCTACTATAGTTCTGGCTAAGATTTGCGTATGCAGTATAGGGATAACCTTGGTTAAACTGTTTTCCCAAGATGTTTCAATATAAGTCATTTGAAGCAGCGCTCTCCTTTTATGTTCTGTGTAGTGTTTTGTTTAACTACAGTGACAGTCATGTCAATGAGGGTAACAGGCAACATGGTATAGTGGATAGAGGGTTTCTCTTATAGTTAAGAAGACATGGGTGCAAGTCACATGCTAGCTGTGTGACCTAAGGCAAGTCACTGAAACTTTTAGTATCCTCTAGGACCAGAAGATACAAACAAGTTGCAGATCAATACTGGTGGAATTAGTTTCCACACCAGAAATTCCTGACCTGGATGAAATCCACACCCAGACCAAGTGAAAGAATAATGATTTAATTTATGCTATAATGCAATTTAATTTTTTATGATCAGTTACATTTATTATCATCAGCTACAATTTTACTTCATAAATCCTATCAGATATGGTAGGATGGGAGTATAGTCCTAAATTCTTGTTGAAAAATAACAGAGAAGTGAAAAGGTTAGCATCCATGAATGGTAGAGACCATCGATGAACTCATCTCATGGATATCATTAATGTTACCTAAACACTCTGTGAGATTATTTTGTGCACTACTGGTTGTGATGACATTTCTGCACCATACACTCCAAAAGCAGTCAAAACCTAGCGTGGCCTTTGTTGGGCCGGTAGGAGTTCTAACACGACCCTCCTAACACAGTTCTCCCACTACCCCTCCCGCCACCCCTCTCCCCTGCCAATAATTGAATACTCTGATAATTCATCCTGTACAAGGTGTTTAATTGGACCATAAAAACCATTTTATGTTGGTGCTTTAGTCTTTCTTTTCCTCAGTCTGACTTATAAAACCAAGATATGTAACAACACATGCCAACCTAGAACTTTGCCCTACCATGCATTGTCTGTGAAATCCTCTTTTTTTCCTTACTGTCAGTCCTTAGTGGTACTGCAGATGAGTGAGTGCATGCATTATCTCTGGATGTGTGTGGCTATCATCCTACGTGAGTGTGTCTGTTTCTGTCCTTGACTCACTTTTTTCTTTTCTTCCTTCCCCCCCCTCTCTCTCTCTCTGTTCCTTGATGTCTTAGTACCAGTCAGACCCTTTCTGTTTAATTCTTTTCTTTTATTCCAAAAAACACTCAACGAGCTATTCAGAGTATGAGTCTTACAGAAGGCACACGCATGGAGTGCTCACCACTATGGGAAAGGATGTGCTCCCTGAAAATTGTCACATCCAGCAAGCACTGCTGTCCTTCACTGAAGTTAATAAAAGGTAGTCTTTCTTTCCTTAGAATTTGTGAAATAACAAATTTGAACAATGATCAATAAGATTTTATTGAAAATGTGTCTTGAAAGATGCAAAAAAATCATAAGAAAACTCAAACTACAGACAGCATTGCAGAAAGGAAGATATAACCCAACACTATAATGGCAAACGTATGTGAATGCCAGGTGCTTCAGAGATGGATGTGCTAAGAGCACTCCTACATAAAAAAAAGGCTAGTAAAAGGCAGAAAACTTGTATGACTTAGCAATAAGTTAAGTCTGCAATTGATATATATACTGATACTTTTCTAATTACCATGCAATATAGCCTAGCCCTATAATATCTACATTTCTCATACAATTTGCAAAGCCCTTAGTTGCATGGCATTTGGGAGTGATCACTGACAAAATGTATGAATGCAAGAAATAGCAGCCTATCTTTAATTTCCTGACTAAACTGAGTTGCTGCATTCTCCCCACAAATAAAATACCTTTAAAGGTGTGTGTGTGTGTGTGTGTGTGTGTGTGATTAAACCACCTGTAAATTAACTTTAGATTAAGTCTGAGTTTTCTAGCCCTCTGTCTTCCCTATCACAAAAAGGGATTTGTAAATCTACACATATACACACATATGTATGTAGGTATATGTACATATACATATACATATGTAAATAAAATCCAGGCAAATAAATAAAATTAACACCACCGTGAAGTACAGTGAAAAAGGATATATTAGCTTTTGAGTCAGAGGACTTAGGTTCAAATTCAGACTTTATTACTTACTACCTATGTGACTTTAGACACAGAAGTCTCTTAACTTTTCTGAACATCAGCTTCCTCGTCTATGAAACAGGGGTGGTATGGAGATGGATTGGATTACATGGTTTTTAATATTCCTTTTTGGCTATAGATTCAAAATCCTATGATCTACAATCCTATCACCCTAATTTAAACCTTACCATTTTAATAGAAATACAGGTTTTACAGATTGAAAGTATATGTGGCAACTTCTAGTTTCAAGTCTTGTACCTAGACAGTGGCATTAAGTTTTCATTAGGCAGCGAGGTAGTGCAGTGGATAGAGTGCTGGACTTTAGAGTCAAGAAGACCTGAGTTCAAATCTGACCTTGGATGCTTACTAGCTCTATGGCCCTTGATTAGTCACTTAATCTGCTTGACTCAGTTTCCTCAAATGGAGGAACAGAGATAATAATTCCATCTATGACCAGGGTTTTGTGGGGATAAAATGAGATAATATTTGTAAAGGGTTTAGCATAGTGCCTGACACATAGTGGGTACTTAATAAATGTCTGTTTCCTTCTTTCCTTCCATTAATCTTCTCAAGAACAAAGGGATGAATAACAGTAACAAAAACCATTAAAATGTGCTTTTAATTCAACAAACATTTCTTAAGCACCTACTATAAGCTATGCCTGGGGATACAAAGGCAAACATTAATTAGTCTCCGCTGTCAAGGAGCCAAGTATCTACTTGGGAGTTAATAACATATATACAAGTAATCAAATATAAAATTAATACAGAATAATTTCAATGAGAATGTCCATTTTTGAAGACTTCAGGAAAGGGCTTGTGAAGGGGGTGTCATTTCATCTATGCTCTAAAACAAGTTAAGGACTGGACAAAAACAGAAGTGAGGAAGGAGTGTGTTTTGGACATTGAAGGGGAGGAAAAAAAGGGTCAGAGTACTTGTGGAAAAGCTGAATCAGGAGATGCAATGTCATGTATAGGAAAGAGCTAACAAGCCAATTTGACTCGAATAGACAATTTATGATGGGGATTAATATGAAATAAAACTAGAAAAGTATGTATGGGCCAGGTTGCTAATGGCTTCAAATGCCAGGCTGAGGTTTTTCTGTTTTGTCCTAGAGGTATAAAGTAGCACTGAAGATTTCTGACCTGGGGGCAGGTAGGTGGCTCAGTATATAGAGTACCGGCCTTGGAATCAGGAGGACCTGAATTCAAATCCAGTCTCAGACACATAACACTTACTAGCTGTGTGACCCTGGGCAAGTGACTTAACCCCAACTGCCTCATCAAAAAGGCAAAAAAAAAAAAAAAAAAAAAAAAGATTTCTGACCTGGAGATTTTATGGTAAGATCTATGTTTTGGGAATAGCAATTTCAAGGCTGCGTGTGGGATAGAATAGAGGGGAAAAGATTGGAGGCAGGAACATCATTAGAAAACTATTTCAATAATTGAGGAAAATGCTGATTATTACAAGTGGAGAGAGATAGTGTGGATATACAACATACAGAATTGACAAGCCTTGGCAAATGATTGGATATGAGGGTTGTGGGAAAAGAAAGAATCAAGCATAACTCAGAAACTGGTTTTACACTTGTTCTATTTCCTATTTAAAATTCTTATTAATATGACCTTCTGATACTTTTTTGATGTGGCAGGTAACTAAAAAACTTATTCAGCTGGCTTTTTCTCTTGGTATCTATCTATAATCAACATTCTTCTTGTCACTGATTGGAAATTTTCTTTTCTTTCATACCACTGCCTCACAAGAAAGTAAGAGGTGTGGGGCAGCTAGGTGGTGCAGTGAATAGAGCTCTGGCCTTGAAGTCAGGAGGACCTGAGTTCAAATCCAGCCTTAGACACTTAACACTTACTAGCTGTGTGACCTTGGGCAAGTCACTTAACCCCCATCACCTCACCAAAAAAAAGCAAAAAAAAAAAAAAAGAAAGAAAGAAAGTAGTGGAGGAAGTGGAGAAAAAGGAGGGAAGGAAGGAGAGAAAGTAGGAGAAAGAGAAGAGAGAAAGACTATATAAGGTGAAGACAGCCTGTTACTGCCTAGCAAAATGGGTGAAAAACTGATAATATTCTTAGACCATCTGAGTATGGTGCTACTCTGGTTAGAGGGTATGTCACTGAAGTAAAAAGGATTTTCCTTTTGTGGTATGGGAAGGGGAAGGGGACACACAAAGGAGAATAAAGCCCATTTAAACCAAGGCAAGAGATTGAAAGGCCTTACTTGTCCTCCTTATGCTTTTTCTCCTGACTTCAGTTAGAATTTTCTCTAAGGTAGAGATGAAAACATTAATAGTACACACACACACACACACACACACACACAAACACACACGAATCAGTGTATTTATTGAGCACTTACTATGTATAAACCCCTTGTTGGGTGCTGTGAAGAATACAAAGACATATAAGACAACAGTTCCCGTCCCCATCTATATACACACACACACACACACACACACACACACACACACACACACACATATGCATATACATCATGAACATTTACTAAGCACCTACTATGTGCCAGGTACTATTAAACACTGAGGATACAAAGAAAAAGCAGAAATAGTCCCTGCCTTCAAGGAGCTTTCATTCTAATGGGGGAGACAAAACATAAACAAATAGGCACATAAATAACTATACAAATACATGTGCAAATTGCTTTAATTTAAAAATGATTCTCTAACCAAAAGGCATCCTATACTAAGCCCAATACAGCCTACCTAAACTCAGAAAAATCAGTTAAGGAATTGCTTCCTATTTAAAATGTTACTAGCTGATAATTGGAAAAGTCTTCTCTCCCTCCCAGGGCAAACTCAGAAAATTCACTGAGAGAATGCTTTGAATTGTGATACCTGTTACCATGCACGTGAGATGCGCAGAATGCAAAGCTGTAATGGAGCAGGGTTGGGTCAATGACAGCACCACTTTCTGAATGGTCCATCAATTCTGTAAGGTAGCAGAGATGTCTATGACAGCCTCTCACTCCATAGCGAGCACAGTACTCATCTAAAACAAAGACTTGACCAGGACTAAACCAACCCTGTAAGAGAAAAAAAAAAAGAATTAAGATACATTTTCTTGCCAGCACTTTCATTTAGCTTTGTAGGCAGTTGAATTGAGATTTGTAACACTTGCTGATGGTCTGTTTTAATGATCATTTTCAGCATATGGATCTAATCTTGTGGTAAACTTTGAAAATGGCTTAGAACAGCCAGTCCCTGATGCTGACTGTACTCATTCCTATGAAAAGGTATTTTGACCTTGTCATTACTCTCTTATAGGACTCAGAATTAGCACAATGCATTTGTCAAACCCTTTGTACCATTAGCTTCAAACTGAAATTATTATATATATTTTAAAAAGAACATTAATTTTTTTAAAAAGATAATGCTAAAATATATGTATAATTGGAAATACTAATATAGGACTACTCAGAATAAAACTAAAGGGAAATTTTAAGAAGCTTGTCAGTGATAAAAATTAAAATTTTAATTCTCTAAGCAAGCAGTACATGAATCCTCTACCTTCATCTTTCTAATCTCTCTCCTAAAAATGCTCTAATTTTATATTCCTTGCATAATTAGGAAGTCCTTATCATAAAATATTTACCCATTCTACTGGGAAGAGACAACATGTACATACAGAAGCAAATACAGAATAACGACCAGGAAAAGAGGGAGGGATCAAAAAATCCTTTAGATAAAAGAAGGCATTTGGGCTGCATCCTAAAGGAGGTGAGGGATTCTGCAAAGTTGAAGTGCGGGGGAAGTGCTTCCATCCAAGCATGGGAGCTGGCCAGTGCAAAGGCAGAGAAGGGAGACAGAATTTCATGTGTGAGGAATAGAGAGGTCAGTGTGGTTAAACCAGGAAATGTGGGAAGAAGAGTGATGTATAATGAGACTGGGAAGATAGGTTGTGACCAGATAGCGAAGGGCTTTAAAAATCAAGCAGAGGAATTTAAATTGGATCCTTAGAAACAAGAGGGAGTCACTAGATTTGATTTTACTTGATTGAAGACAGGAGTGGTGTGGTGAGATCTATGTTTAAGGAAAATCACTTTGGCAGTTACATGGAGGATGGATTGTAGTTGGGAGAAACGAGGTTGGGAAATCAATTAGGAAGCCATTGCAACTGTTTGGACAAGAGGTGATGATAGCCTGGTAAGAGCAGAGTAGGGCTATGAAAGGAAAAATGTCTTGAATGAATGAAATGAGTCAAGAAGGTAAAAAGAAAGGATGGAAGAAAAAAAGAAAGAACACAGATCACAGAATTTTAGAACTCAGAGGGACTTTGGAAGAAAAAGGAAGAAAAAAAAAACATGGGATGAGATAAAAAGAAAAAGAAAAGTGGTACAGAAAGAAAGAGACAAGGACAAGTGAGCTATTTTGATTATCTTTGTAAGTACACTTGGCATCTTAGTCTAACACTGTCTTCATATGCATACCATGAGGCAACCTGACTAGAATGCAAACAATAACAAACAAAAAAACAAAAACCAACAACACCCTACCTCATTTAAAGAAAAAAAAAAAAAGAAGAAGAAGAGGCAGCTAGGTGGTACAGTGGATACAGCACCAGCCCTGGAGTTAGGAGGACCTGAGTTCAAATCTGGTCTCAGACCAGACACTTGACACTTAGGAGATGTATGACCCTGGTCAAGTCACTTAATCCCAATTGCCTCACACACACAAAAAAAGGTTCTTTTAGTACTTCTGAAACTAAACCTACTTGAATAAAGTCCAAGAAGGATCTCCTTTTTACTAAAACATACTTTAGAATGAATAGCATTTTCCTGAAGGTCTTCTTTCTTTCTTTCTTTTTCTTTCTTTCTTTCTCTTTCTTCCTTCCTTCCTTTCTCTTTCTTTCTTCCTTTCTTTCTCTTTCTTTCTTTCTCTTCCTTCCTTCCTTTCTCTTTCTTTCTTTCTTTCTTTCTTTCTCTTTCTTTCTTTCTTTCTTCCTTCCTTCCTTCTGACAAACTGTTTCTATGCATGGATATATAGTGCTATTTTGGGGGGCTTTGCCCACAGAAGCTTGACCTTGAGGCAGAGAAGAAGAGCTAGGCAACTTTCTGAGGGCAGGCATTTTGGGGCAGGCATTTTTTTTTCCTAGCTTTCCCCAAACTCTCTTGACCTTAGACTTGACCTGGGGGGTAAGAAGGGGAAGAGTACCAAGAGTGATACAGAAGTTGCTCTTGGAAGGGATGAGGGACCCTTGGAAGTCATCTCAATGGGAAGAGCTCAGGAGGCCCTTACAGGTGATCTAGGATATGCCATGTTAGACTAGAGGAGATACTGGGACAAATCACTCCTGGGAGTTTCTGTTGAGAATGAGGACTCAAAAGATTTGGCTGACCTGTTCACTGTTAATCCCCCATCCTTTTCTACTCTAGGGAAAATTGAGTTTCCCCAGTGTGAGTTAATCTCTTCAATGTCTGATTCCCACTGTCCCATTCTGGCTGTTTGAAAAGGGTATTTGGAGCCTTGAGGGGCTTGTTCCTTTCCTTTACAAGTTCACTTTCACTCCTAAGTTTTAGTATGTGATTAAAATGTTGGCCAACGTAAACCCAAGCTGTTTGGTGTATTTTACTTATTGCTCATATCTAGAAATAATAAAAAGGAGAGGGGATTAGAAATAGGAGACTGTTCAACCACATATCCTGATTAGTTTTCTTGGCCATCAATATGCTAAAGGCCTTTAATATATCAAAATGTTCTGATAACTTAAGCATTTTCTGAACATTTGAGGGTTAGCTATTTAAAGAGATGGGTGATTTCCTAGGAAAATGAAAATTCTGTTACAGATTATACAAAGTTCTAGCAAAATGAATGGGGACAGAGGATATTTTAAGTAAGTATAACAAATTAATGTTCTTTTGAGTCTTAGAGACCTCATATAATCTTTGTAAAGTCAGTGTATTCATTCAGGGTGATAAAAAAATACTGAAAGACATTCATATCTTGAAATTTAAAGAAAGTAAATTAACTATTGTTGCTAACACGGTTATTTTTTGGGGGAGGGGAATGGACTGGCCATAAAATTACAAATAATCTAGTATCTAATGTAGAGGCTTTGGTATTTATCCATCAACTCTTTTCTTTTATCTATCCCACAGTGTTGTATGACAAAGGTAAGCCTCTCTATTTGCTTCCCCCTTGTTTAGACTGAACCCCATGTTCAGTCTGTCAACAAACATTTATTAAACATTTTTTATGTTCCAGGCACTTTCTAATTGCTGAGGATACCAAGAAAGGCAAACTATTCCCGCCCTCAAGGAGCTTATAGGCTAATGGTGGAGACACCATGCAAAAAGTTTTGTACATATAAGCTACAGAGAAAATTGGAGGTCGTCTCACAGCTAAGGTACTAGCATTAACATGGACTAGGAAAGGCTTCTTGCAAAAGATAAGATTTTAAGTGAGACCTGAAGGAAGCCAAGGAAGAAGTGAGGGAGAAGAGACAAGGCAGAGCATTCCTCATACACTAAGACAGTGAAAATGTTGAGTTGGGAGATGGAGAGTGTTCCATGAGGAATAGCAAGGAGGTCAGTGTCAAGATCTGGAATGCTACAAAATCTTAAAGCCAAATCTCTTTAGGATTATGGATTTAGAATTGGACAGTACTGTTAGCGGTCATGTGTAGTCCAACTCTCATTTTACAGAAGTACCTGAGAACTGGAGAAGTGAAATGACCTGTCACACATGAAGTAAGTGAAAGATTACTGACTGAAACTTAGGTCTTTTGACACTGCTCCCTGGCCATCTTTCCATTTGCTTCCTCATTTACTCTGTTATGGACATAAGATAGATTATCTTATCTCACTGAACATGCAGAATAGTTACTCACCACTATGGCAAGAAAATCTATACATATGTTATTATCTACCGAACTCATATGGTAATTTTAATATTTACATATGAAGTATTAAATAAGCTATATAAATTAACAGCAGCCTACCTAGACAAATCTTAAAAGAAATCAGACTGAGTCTAGAGGAAATTAGGCAGCTGGTCTAAAATAAATAACTCATTCAGACTCTCCACCCCCCTTTCTTTTAACTTGTAAAATTTGGAAGCAGATTATGGCATTTGGTGGTATGTAGTACAGAGTCTTTGCATGTATTTCTTCTAAGGAGAATGAACCTCAGATTTTCAATCAGGAGGTAAAGAGCCTGACATTTGTTACTGTGGACAAAGCTGAAGTATGTGAGCACAGCAGAGTTTATGAACCTATCTGATTTAAACTGTAAATTTAGACAATAGTGCAAAAAACTGGAATTAGGATAAACTAGGATAAATAATGAACTTATAGATTATACAGATACATAAAAATATATAATATACATTTATATAAATAATGAACTTAAATAACATATAGAATGTTAGAATGAAAAGAGGGAGGAAAAGAAGAATGGAGAAATTAAAACACAAGTCCAAGATTGGTACCAAAAAAAATTTTTCTTGTTCCAGTGCTTTGAACAACTCTGTCTTTCCTTTAATTTCATCATTTAACAGGCTTCAGTAAATATGGGAGATAATGACTTATTATGGGCTCCATGACAGAAGTCACCTTTGAAAAGTCAGAGTAGCCTCTAATTTGTAACAGTGAGGGTTGTTTTGCTCTTGTTTGACCTCTCTGATGGGTGCTGTTCCTCCTTCCCTCTACCATCACCTTCAAACCAGGAATGGGTTGTCCTTGTCAGCATATGTAGAAACTGAATGTGGTGGTGGTAGTAAGTGATCATGGAAGCTGTAGTTGACAAACCCAACAAGGAGTGACTTGCTTGCTCACCCTCAATGTTAAAATTCCTTAGTGAAGCTAATATGATTATATGAGTGAACTATTTTGGTCATCCATATAAAGTGTTGTCTTACTGATCACTACATTTTACCATGCAGAGTTTAAAAAAAAAAAGTGTCGCTCAAACATAATATGGACCAAAAACTCCTCTGATGTGTAGATATGTTCCAAATGCCCTAGAATATAGCTATGTGAAATAATCATCTGAACCTTTGAGTCAATAACAAAAGCCTCTCAGTTCCTCGAGTGGAAATTACTTTGTATAGATTTATCTCTAGAGTCACTCTGGGATATATAATCTCATTCAATTCAACAAACATTTACGGAAGAAAAAAATGAAAACTTTTTTTCATATTTAAATCACTATCTGCAACAGATGACCCAAACTACACAAATTCAAAAGAAAGACACTACTGCTTTAATTTGAAACAAAGTACTACCTAATTCAGAAAGTTTAGCTTTGAAGGATTTGTCCTTCAATTTTGGTAAGGGCTGACACGATTATACATAACCACTTTGGTAACAATAAAAGACTCACATCTCAGAGAACACATATTGCTCATCAGTTTGATGGGTGTTCTTAATTAATCAGTGAAATAGGAAACAATTTCAATAATAACTGATCAAGTAATTTTCAAATGTGAGAAACTTGATCCTATATAAAATGATCCTTATTCCAGTTTTCCCTATTTTTAAAAGCAACAGATTTCAGATGACAAATTAGTCTTATTTTTAATAATTTTTTCAAAATGTAATTCAAATGACCTTCTCCTATAGCTCATGAATGATATCTGCAAATGAAATTAACCTTGACTCTGCTGAACATAAGAGCAGTAATCCTATCTGCTTTTTATCTTTTCTCAGTGGTTGGCACTATTTGTTTCATTTCCCTCACTCTCACCCCATGTGAAACAATAGGGGGAATTACAAGATAGATGACAAAATGTCTAACATCTGGTGAGCTGAAGGTGTACCTTAAAATGCCTGTACAGGTGTTAGTAAATCCTACCACAGAGGTTTCTGTCTTTATTAAAGCCGTCTGTTTTTATTCAGACCTCTCTCGAGGAGCTGATAAACTACCGACCAGAGTCCGTTTGAATCTATTCTCTTCACTATTGAGTGGCACAGCGGTAGTCTTCAAGTGTATAATTTTCAAATTGGAAGCCAATCGATTGGAATCCTTTATCCCATCTTCAAGCACAGTTATAAAATGAGTTGGGAATAAAAGACCACTTCATAAAAACTACTTCTCACTTTTCATTTTTTTTATTCCAACCTATACAGAAACCAAGTAGACAAATCTGTACTCACCAAACAGGAGTAGGAATCATTCAGTCTATGATCCAAAGTCTGCCTCTGAAGTAATCTAAAGAGGGATGCATGGTCAAACTTGCAGGGATTAGCAGAAATAAACTCATCCATACCATGTTTCTGAGAACGATCTGGATCTGTAAATTAGGAGAAACACAGACACATACATATGTGTGTGCATATATACATATGTGTGTATATATATGCATATATATACAAACACATATATACATACAAATTATTAAATGGGTAAACATAACTTTTGCTGAGGATGTAATAGTTACAGCATAAGTACAGAAGACTCATGAGGAATGCTGCATCTACCAAAAATGCAAAAGAATAATAGAAATTGTAGTCATTCAACTGTTTCTACTGTTTTTTAAAATCTCATTCAAAATAATTAATAGAAAATTATAAGAAAATGCAATTATTCCTCCTTTTTTCTTTCTCCACAAACCCCTAAATAAATATAACATATTCCAAATATAACATCTGGAATTAGGAAGCTAATTTTTATAAAAAGCTACTTCCAATGTTGAAAACACTTCCCCCACCCCCAATCCCCAGTTCTAGGAAGAGTTAATGGATTTGGTTTTGGCTTCTGCTAGAGAATATGACAAGATATCTAAGGATCACTCATAATAATACATTAAAAAAAAAAAAAAAACAGCAATCATGACTAGAAGCCTACTTTCCAAATGGCAAACTGGGGCAGAAATGAACACACAAGGCTTAGCTGGATCATTTCCAGCCTTCTTTTTGAATGGAGCTTTTAATGGGACAAATCTTAATGTAGAAATGGCAATGAATGCTCTCAAGCTTCAAGCAAAGTCTTGAAAAAGGGAGCGGCATTTTTGTGCAAATATGTAGACAAAGCACAACTTCCCAAATGGCACTTCAATCAAAGGCCCAAATTTATTGTTCTTTACAGATTGCATCTTTCAACGCCTCTAGACCCTGCGGGTTTATCAAAAGACAAGCTTTTATGACTGCTTTTGTTAATGGTATGTTTTGTCAAAGTCTTCAATGTGAGTTATCCACCAAGTATGGACAGAAAAAGCCATACGATGTCCACAACGATTGGTTGTATATTAGCACATTTGCTCTGTTAGATGCCATGGTCCACAATGGGACAAATAATCAGTTATCAACATAAAAATGGACTTCCTTTTACAATGGTAATGTTCAAGCTCTTTTGTTCCTTTAAATTCACATAAAGGCCTTTTCATGTTTGTTACAAGAAAAGCACAGACCCAAATGTATTCTAGATGCAATTTTGAAAACAGGCAATAGCACAGACCAAAAATTTCTAAAGAAAAGGAGACAAAAGTTTATTGATTAAACTCAATTATAGAGTCAGGTTCATAACAAAACTCGATATTGATCTGTGGGCATGATGCTAACATAATCAGTCACATTTAGAAATTTAGCCCCAGATCATATTGATCCATGTCAAGTTCAACTTTCAGCTGTATTTGTGGATGGAAGAACTATTTAATTCGAGCTGAAGGATCTATAGCGCTGCATCTTGAAAAGATACACAAACAAATTCATATCACTTCGCTTTGCACTGTCAAAGCAAGAATCACATCCATGTGACAGATATCACCAAGGTGGATGTAACAAGTAGGCAGTGTGACAGCTCACTGATGGCTTAAGGTATGGGGCTCTCAGGAAAACTACCATATGTATTTCTTAGTACTGTACTGAATAATAATAATAAGGGACAAGCTTTTAAGATACTAACATTAGGCAGGTTAACATAAAGGTGGTTTGTTTCTATTTGGCTAACATATGAGACAACCTGCCATAATTTGTCTTCCATAGATAGTTTGATATTCATTTAAAATACATAAATATAAAAGAAAATGTTGAGAATATAAATTTGACATGGGATATTTATCTCAAAGTGAAATAATGTATGTGACAGTGCTGTGAAAATAGAATGTGCAGTGAGATGGAGGGAATTATTTTACTAAATCTGAACTATAATACAAAATTATATATTTTTTTAAAATTCTACTTGGATCTTTTTTTGTTTCTTAGTATAATTTATCTTAATAAGGAAAAATAAATCCTTTCAGTTTTGGTTTCTTTGTGAAATTAAACACCCCCCCCCAAAAAGCATTTAATGAATGAAATCATCATTTCTTTTGGAGACAGAGATTTTTACAGAACAAAATATTTTATCTCTCTTAAAATTATGATATGTAATAATTTTGGGGGGGAAAAGATCCTATAGCTTACTTTTAGTGGTCTAAGATATAAAATATTTTGTTGAACATAATCTAGACATACTTCTTTCAATGGAATAGGTCATTTCCCCAAAAGATAGCTGAACGGTTAATTTCTTTTGATAAAGTCATATTTTATATTGATTTATATTACAGAATTAGAGATAGCTTCATATCAAATATTTTGGTTCTATGGATTTTAAAGACATAATTAAAATGCATCAAATCTGAAATTATGAGGAAAGAAGAAATGATTTTTTTTTCAGAAGAATAAAATATCAGTAACACTAAATACTTTCAAGATTAATGGTTTTCTTAGAATGGGTAGTTTCTCCACCTACATAGACTAGCTTCTCCATGCCCTTTCAGCAGCTATCAACACCGGTTGTCCAGGAAAAAAAAATCATTAACTGGGGGCCAGCCTTTTAGTGATGAAACTTTTTGCACTATGCTAAGCTGCTGCTTGGATAGAGTTCATTTCTGAGCCTGCATTTCAAACCTTTCCAGATTAATGGGACCTAACAAAGTTGGTGAGCCACTGGTGTTGCCTGAAAGAACCCAGAGTCACCACCATGCCATAAGAAGGGCTTTACTGAAGAATTAAAAAAATAATCCTGAAAATATGTTACCAAATACAAACAAATGTAAGCCTGGTCAAAATAAAACCAAAAAAGCTTCACCAAAAATGGCATTCCTTTGGGAACTAAATGAACTTGGGAGAGAAATGAACTCTATGGACTTCTCCAATACTTAAAATGTTGCGGAGACAAAGAAGTTCCATTTCTAATCAGACCAGGATGCTATCTGTGGATTACAAACATGCATTATAATAATATCATTCTTTCTAGGTCACAGAAGTATATTACCTTATCTGATCCTCATAAACCAATGAGGCAAGAGGGGCAGGCATTATTATTTCTATTTTTCAGATGAGAAAAATGAAATTTAGAAAAGTCATGGCTTAAGTAAGGTCACATAGGAAGTAGAATAGCCAGGTCTCAAAATTAGTTTTTCTGGCTTCAAGTCTAGCATACTTTACAATACAATATTGCTGCCCCACAAGCATTATACCTAATATTCAGAATGAAGAACTACTGGCTATGTGTAGTTTATTGATTTGTTTATTTAATGATGAATTTTAAACCACAGAGATCTAGAATCTTAAAAGATGCTGAGTTGCTCTGTTCATACATGTATTCTTTTGTGTTCCCACTGTGAGCTAGGTTTTCAGTATTCATTAGCAGGATAATTTTATTTCCTTAAGGGCAGGCTTTTGTATAGTGACAATCTTTAACACTGGTATTCCTTGGTCCAATTCCTAGAGAAAAAGAACTCCATTATAACCCTAGTATTAGGGGACACAGGATGGATCATAGGCTGTGTCATGGTGATAGGAGTTATCTTACACATTTCTATGTTCATATTTTTACCCATACTACAACCAAATCCAAGATAGAGGTATTACTTTATATTTAAGCCATGGTTCATTCATTCAATGACTATTTATATATTAAGCATATGCTATGTGTCAAACAGCAAACCACTGGGTTCAAGACTGCTCTCCTTGAGTTCAGTTTACTGGGGGGAAACAATAAGTACATATACAGATATATAAATACAAACTTATATGCAAAGTAAATATTAACATTCAACATATTTATTTATTGAACACTTACTGACATATGTCCTGGGGGAGTTACAAAACTTAGCTAAAACTTCATGGAATTAATATCATAATAGATGGATAAGCTCTGAATATACATTATACTATCTTTTTCAGTTTTGTTGATTTTTTTGTTTGTTTTTAATTACAGTAAATTCTCACCCCCACCATAGAAAGACTGCCCTCTAACAAAGAAAACAAAGTTAAGTAAGACCAACTCACTTTGACTGAATCTGCCATTAAACACCTATAGTCTTCAACTTCTCCAGTGAAAGAAGAGAAGTACATTTAAAAAATCTCTTCTCCAGGGACATGTGTGGTCATGATAATTATATAGCATTTGATTTCATTTACGTTGTTGCAGTTGTGTTTATTTTTCTCGGGGCTTCATTCTGGGTTAGTATACACTAGTTTTCTCACATTTCTCTAAATTCTTGATATTTATTGTTGTTACAGTCCTGCGATATTCCATCATATCCATGTACCATAGCTTATTTAACAATTCCCCAATTAATGGACGCTTAATTTGGTTTCTACTTATTTGTCTTGTCTTGTGCATGCCTAGATTAGCTAACATGGAGGTACCCCGTGCTGGGTGCCTCTACCTCATGAATGAGAGCAGCCTCCTTTGATTATCTGTGGATCTTTCCTCTTTTTTGCTGCTGTCCAGAAGGTAAAGATCACATTTCACTTGCAGCATGGTCATCATGAACTGAAGTGAGGAGGAGAGAAGGAAGAATTCCTTCCATCCCCTGTGCCTGTGTGCTGGTGCTCTCCTCTCTGTTTCTCTGTCTCTGTCTCATTTAAATCCTGTGCCTTCAGTGTTCATCTTTGAATGAACCTCAGTTTTAGGTGCTGGTAAATCACTGGATTGGGAATATCAGTTGTGGTGACCTTGAAGCCAGTTTTCCAGTCAGAATGTAACAGTCAGCACATCAAGCAGGCAAGCCCCACAAAACCAGCCCGACAGAGGTTTTGGACTTGGAACTTGGGACTGTGCTCTATAGGAACTGATATAAACTATGAACTAAGCTAATCCTTTTTCCCTCCCCAGAGATGGAGGTGCTATAGAGAGGAGACGAAGTTCCATGTATTGGATAAGTAGGTTTATATATTTGTTATTACACATTTTGAAATAAATATTCCTTCGTAAAAACTAATTTGACTGTTAGTGGTTACATGGAACCGGAGCAAAAGGATCTATCCTTAAAACCACTGCTGGAGGCTGGGGTCTTTTACA